AGCTGCAGCACCTCGCTCTGGGCGCTTTTCTAACTCAAGACCTGTGGGTCTTTCAGCTTTTTCTAGTTTTTAAAGGCAAAAAAAACCTGCTCAGTTCTTCCCTTCCCTCCCTGCCTGCGGCTGGGATGCTGCCCGCTCAGCACAGAGCGAGGTGGAGACATGCACAAAAGCGACGTCCCAGCAGGTCCCATCTCTATTGTACTTAACCTCTCGGTGCCACTGGAAGTTTACTCTTAAAACGGGGCCGATACTTTAATAGGAGTCTGTTTGAAAGGGGCCTCGTTGCCGATTTATTATGCAGTTTGCTGAATAAAAAAAAAAAAAGGGAAAAAAAAGAGAAGAAAAAGGAGAAAAACGACTCCGTTATCTTGTTACGGGGCCGGTTCCCGCGGCAGCTCTGTGCTGCGGGCTCAGGTGCTGGGCTCTGGGGCTGCCTGTGGCAGATAATAGGGATGGGAACAATTGCCTTGGCACAGGGAGTGTAACAGCTTCGCCTTTAATGTTTTCCATTTAACGCGGGGCAGAGGGGAAGGGAGGGAACAGCGCTGGGATGCGAAGCACCAGCCCGGAGGACCAGAACAGACCCACCGAGGAGCCACGAGTCCTCAGTGAGGGACCAGGCACCCAGGGAGCTGCTTCCTCCCGGCACAGGGAGCATGAAGATGAGGGTTCATCTCACAAAGCCCTAAACCATCCATACGGGGCTCCTCTTGCCTCCAAACTCCAGTCCGGCAAGTCCAAGGGTTGAGATTTTTTTGGGGGATGGGTAGCCCCGAACGGCACGTCCCACCCTTCCCCACCCTGCCCGACACCCCAGCGATCCGGGGAGAGCCGGGGAGATGCTGAGACCCCTCCTTGGCACCTCTTCCTGGTCCCTTGAGAGGGCTCCAGCTTTGCAGAGCCCTGTATCAGGGCTAATCCTGACCCTTGGCTCAGAGCAATCCCAGGGCTCCTGTGGAAGGGAGGGTCCAGGAGATTTTTGGGCTGATCTTGCCCCTCGCTTGCCCATCAGATTGATGGGGAGGGCGGGGGATGCTCCCGGAGTTTTTATTTTGCCTTCTCTCCCCTAGATAGCAGAAAGCTCTCAGTTCATGGGTTAACAGCAGACTCTTCCCTTC